CTGTTTGTGCGGTTGGGTGCAGGCCGCACCACACCCAGGGCCGTTGGTATCGTTGGTATTGTGTCGCTGCAGATGCGGAGAAGCAACGCCGCGAACAAGGCACCTTGGACGCCCAGTTGGCGGCCACGTACTCGCGCTCGCAGATGTTCCTCTCCAGACAGCTGGCGCAGCTGCACCCGGAGCTCACCATGCCAATGTTCTCAGGTGAGTTCATATAGCTCACCATGCCAGTGTTTTCAGGTGAGTTCGTACAGATCACCACGGCAGTGTTCTCAGGTGAGCTCGTACAGCTCGCCATGCTCATGTCTCAGGTGAATTGACACGGCTGACCATGCCCATGTTCTCAGGTGAGTTCATACAGCTGAACATGTCCATGTTCTCAGGTGAGTTCATACAGTTCACCGTGCCCGTCCTGCATGGTGTCCCCGCGGAACTAACACTTTCGTACGTGTTATGAGGTGAGCCACAGCACTCACCATTTCGTACGCCAGGGTGAGTTTGCTAAGTTACGCAAACCTGTGTTGCCAGTTGGGTCCACGTAGGTCCCCATGGCTACGTTCTCAAGTGTACCCTTCGTCTTCTCATGCGAGAGGCACGTTGGCTGTCTGATTCGCCCTTTCATGCAGGGTGCCCTTTCTTTGAAATGCCATTGGTTGCTACAAAATTTGAACTGAGCACGTGCCAACCAACTCGCTAACCAAATTTGGGCTATCGGATTGAAATATTGGTCAAGTATCTGATGAGTTCGTTATTCAAAAACGTTTGCTGATAAAACGTGTAGAAAGCCGTTCATGCTAAGGACATGATGGTTCCGCAAATTCTGAAGTCAATTTGATACCATTTTTATGACATTTTGTTGCCTCTTAAGTGTTTGCTTGTTTTGATTGCAACGAAGTTTGATGATTTCATTTTCTCAAGAAAGAGTGAAATCGATTCCGAAAAGCAGCGTTATATTTCAATGAAGTCCCGAGCACCGTACATGCGGCCGAATTGGCACTGGTGTTGGGTCATGACACCAGATAGTGAAACGCTGCTACAGTGAAAGTATCACTAACGTGCTCGCCTTCTTTTTGGCCCGCTCGAGCTCATGGTAAGGCTAAGACTGGTTCTGGCTAGGAAGAAACGACGGCAAGTGAATCAGGATTGTGAGTTCAACTTTTAACATGTCAAAAACCAATTTTTTGGTAGACCCAGTACCTTAAAAGAAATTAGCAACAGCGTATTTTTTTAGTTAAACACATCTTGTTTTGGCAATATTTTGCTGTATTTGATGTATTTCGGATTGTAACAAGGCTGTTCGTTAAGGTATTGTAATTTTGAGAATTTTTGGTCGTAACATGAGCGCCCCCTCGAGGCGAGAACGTAAACGCTGCACGATCGATTATGGCAGCTAAGTCCGTGACGTTATGGCTGCAGACGTGAAGTGACTGTAGCTCAATTTTCTAGAGTATAATGCAAGTGATAAGCTACTTTTCGGATGATAAGTTTCTTCTCGTTCCTGGAAAGGCGGAACATAATCGTTTTGCTAAACGTGAGATCGCCTGTCCATAAAAACGAGCAGCAATCTCATGTAAAGCTCGCAGGCTCGCAGGTTTATTATATTGCATCAGTCTTTGTTGTGGCCCTCTTTACCGATGTTCGGCACGCCTGGCATGCCGCAGCACGTGTGCCACGCACATGCACGTATGTCGCTGCCGGCCAAAGCCGGCTGGCACGCACGCCTCCCGCTTGAACTCATCTATGCGCCTGCCACCTGCACCCGATTGCCGCTGATTGCTTGGAAGTTGATGTAGTCGGCAAAATAAACTTTGCACAACTCCGCCGACACCCACTTGAACGGTCCGACTGTAATTGGTTTGGTACGGCATGACTGGAATAGCTCGACCGGCCCCGAGTTTTGTGTTCAACTTTGTGTTAGGATCCTGGAGCTATCCTGGCGCTTCTTTCCGAAGTCATTCCTTCTAAGTTTTTAATTAAAACCTTTCTAAAGTCATTTAAAGTGATTTAAGTCATTTAAACATCTTTCGATAGGTACACTAAAAGTCATTTAAACCTTTCGACGGTACCAGAAAGTCATGTAAAACCTTTCGAAGGGGTACATCACAAAAGTCGGCAGGTCTGCCAGCTAAAATTATTTTCTGCAAAGTTTTTCTTTTACTGTCTGCCGGTCAAAACTAGCAATGCACTGACGGAGGCTCAGACAAGTACATGAATCTCCTCAGGTCATCTACTGCATTACGATACTGCTGCCCAAATGCGTCCTATTTTTTGGAAGTGCAGGAATTGCACACCGATGCAGGCAGTAAGATCAAAACGCAAGTGAACATACTTGCCCCAGTTGGCACATAAATGTGCATCCGAGCCCGTGGCCTGTGTACTCTGTGGCCAGTGGTCATGGCTGTATGATCTGTAACTGCTGCTTCTACACTAATTGTGCCATACTTTCTCTCAGAGGCAATTGGTTCGTAATCCAGCGCAGCACATGTGGCAACACACACATTTCGTGCGAATAAGCTGTCAAGGTAATAATATAAATAAAGCCTTATGGTGAATTTAACGACCATCTATATACCTGGTGTATTGCTCTTGGTGCATCGAAGTTCGTTGAACTGGTCAGGATAATGAACGAATCAAAATCTTATTCTGAAATAACGGCTATGAATATGTCTGGCATGCACGTCACATGCATGAGTGATTATGAGGGGTGCAACTGATGAACGCAGGCCCATTTCACTTGTTTTTTTCTAGATTTGAGCTGTTTTCATTACAAGGTTGTTGAGTCTGTACAAGGAAGTAGTTTCAATAAAAGCTCACTCGGCGTTTGATCTATGGCGTAGGCAACACTGCAATGGAACGGAAATGCCTTCTTAGCAGTCTAGTGGCACAAACTAAAAATGCAATCCTTCATTTTCTAAGCGTCTGTGATTGAGAAGCTACACTTAGGTCGTTCTTTCTTACCAGTTCTAAACCCACATCCGTTGCATTATGGTGAAAGTAGTGCAAGCAGGAGGGGTTCCTTTGGTTCATAGATAGGCATTTATTTTTTTTCTCTGCTTCAGGTCGTACTGCATGCAATTGATGCGTCGGCGAAATGCATTGTTTTCTTGGAATCTGTTTCAATTAGTTTCTGAATCATTAGTTTTCTGGAATCTTATAATCTGAATCATGAATCAAGCGTAGTTTCATGGTGGCATGTTTATGACATGCTTTTTGGCATGCTGATATTTAATATGTTTGTTTGCTAGATTGATGTTGAGAGCAGTCTACTTTGCTGGAATTTTTTCGGCTATTCTGACAAAGCGCATTTTTCATAAGACAATTACTTTCTCTTTTGCTGTGCGCTGGTCAATAGAGGCACGGTGTGTTTCATTAACGATGCTCAATACGAAAACTATGTTATATTGTTACGCTTCTTTCTCGGTGGCTCACGACATACTTTGCTGCGCATGAGCTGCTGCCGGGACTCTGCCAGTTTTTGCTACTCTTGGCTTATCCCAGCCAGTTTACCGGGAAAAACTGATTGGCGGAGGCTGTTTTCAGCCGGTTGCCTGATGGCGCCGCTGAGTATCTCCGACACTTGTTTGGTGCCGCCTTGCTCCGCCACTTCATCGCAAGGGTCTCCGGCCGGTCTGCGCGCGCTTCTCGAGGGCTTCACTTCTTACTGTCGGCGATGGGGTGGCTGACTGTTCGAATCGGCGCAGATTGGGGGACATATCTCCGGTTGTGCGACTGCCCGTGGGGTTGAACTGCGGCCCGTTTACACATACCAAGGTCAAACAAAAGAGGCGGCTCTGTTGGAGCAGTTTGCATTGCTTATGTACGCCGTTTGCAGTACAGGTGAGGCATAAGCAGTTTGCTTTGCTTATGCTTCATCTTTCACTTTTCGTCCATTCGACGTAGTGGGTCGATTGGCAGATGACCCGATGATTGATAGATGACCTGATGCGCTCGTAAGATATTGTAAGTACGAATTTCGCCAGTTCCTTTAGTTTTTAAAATCGATAGGAATGAAGAATGCAAAGCAAAGGTTTGAAGGAGCTAGCTTCTAGAAGCAAACGAGCGCAACAAAACATAAGTTGCAGGGCTCATAGTCGAAACCCATGATCGTGCGACTACCCTCGGTTTGAGTAACCTGTCCAAACTACTGTGGTCGCCCCCCGGCTCATTAACAGATACCTGGGTCTAGTGTAGAAGAGGTCCCAGTCGGCACCTGAAACGTATAACCAACTCCAACCGGTTCTCATGCGTGCATCATCTGACTGGCAAACGTGACGTAAGAATGGAAACTGGGCTATAACTCACACTGCGTATGGGGTGGAATCCATGCCGTTCTTATGCCGTTCGAAGAACGCCACTTTTGTGTTACCTGCCGGAGTGCAACCAGTAGATCTAAAGAAGCAGATGAATATGAAACATGCGTGCGTGAGGCTGAAGTGACCCATTGCGCCTGTCTCACGAAATATGCGTCAAACAGGAGGCTGCATGGAGTAGCCGGCTGGGTAATTTGTGTTGTAACCCGTAACGTACAACACACGTGACGTAACGTGTGTTGTAACGTAACCCGGAGCTTTAAGCTCCTTCATGCTGACATGTTTGGAAGCGAATAGGGCGCTCCGAAACTATCCATGATATGTTGGCGTCTTAGTGGCGTCGATTCCACTGGCTGCTCACTTGCAAGATTACCAAGTAATTGTGTTCGATAACTTGAACCGGCGTCATTGACTGCAGACGGTGCTATTTGCTTGCAACCTCAATGGGTTGTCGATGCTTGACCCGCTCAGTTTAGTGAAGCCCTTCCCCCGGATAATAGCCTATGTCAGGATTCTAGCCTGTGCCCAGCCCTTTGAAAAAGCTGCATGGCATTCGTGCATGGCATGGCATTGATTCAAGCGTATTTCACTTCAAATGACGGATGTGAATATAAGTGGATGACGGCGGGTGAACTCTATGGGCGCTGCATGGTCATCTGCATTAGACACATCCTAAAGCTCCAAAAGTCATCACCGGCCGGATACTGTTGTCCAACCTCCCCAGTATCTGTCCGGTGAGTAAAACCCACTATCTGGATCGTGGCCACCGCTGCCGTAGCTGTGGACAGAAGCGTACCGAACTCGGCCGTCCTGGCCCCTCCCGTTATCGACATAGTCGACTCAGCGTCTGAGGAGACAGGCTCGTGCGTGCAGCTGCCAGCCCTGGCACGCATCGATTGGGTCCAGATGCCCCCGGGAGCCGGGACCAGATTTCGCATGCTAGTCACCACCCGCTCTACGTTGGTGGGTCAGGGCGCGGCGCGCTTGCGTACGCATTACGAACGACTAAGCGCACGTGTGTCACAAAGGAGTTGCAAGGGAAAACCCTCCCCCATTGCAAAATATGTGATCCAATGCACACCGTTAAATGTTGTTATTCATAAGCAAGTATTTGGCGCCGGCGAATCATGCAGTTTTCAGAAATACGTAGGGTTGTATTTGCCTTTTCATCTTGTCTTTTTGTTTTTCCTTTGCTTTGTTGACACACGGTGAGCATGCCCCCGGCCATGTGTACCCGGATGAGAGCATAACAATGTTGCAATTGATGGCCTCCGCTTGGGGCTCCTTTATGGTTGCATTAAACAATCGCAGTCTGGCCAAAAATGTGATCAAAATGCACGTTATCAACACGCCAACCATCACTACCCGTCCTTGCTGCGTGGACCCGGTCCCATTACACTGTATCAAGAGTTTTCTCTTCAGGCTGAAATGACGTGGCAAAGTTTTGGCTCGAAGGCAAGCTCAGCAAGCGCTGAGTACCAGCTGAAGGCACCTCCTCTGCGCATTATCGCTGATCCAGCGTTTCATTTCATAGTGTTACGACCTAAGATAAAACTCATAAATGGTAATATGTCAGGTGCTTGTGATTAGTCGGGATCGGGTTACACCACAACGTTGGCAGTAGACGCACCCTTGAACCCGTCAGCATGCGAACCGAATGATGTTAGCGCACGACTGAGAACGTGTAAACTTCGGTACAGCCGACATCAACACACACCTGTAAGCCACAATCCTAGGGTGAAGTGGATAGCCGGCATATTGGCGGGAGGGTATGTTCGGTAAGGCACCATGGACGACTGTCTCACCGTGTATGGTTGTGTGCCCTTGACCACGGTATCCCACCTCCACCGTTTGGCTGATTATTTTATTTTGGCCGGGCAAAAACGGCACCAGGCGCATCGAGATAAATTAACCGCCCTGATTCGCCCAAATTGGCGAGGATTCCACGCAACCAGGGAATTACATTGGGAAGGGTCCACTGGGTATCAACCCTGTCAGCCCCTCCACGCCCCCTCCCCCTCCCCGTCCTACACAGACTTCATGCATTCGGCGCCCCACCACATTCATTCCAAGTATACACATCCGCTGACGCCCACGTTACCCAGCTCTTCTTGGCCCGGTAGGACCACTTTCTAGGGCCTAATTGTCACGGCTGCGTTAGTCCCCATTGAACTAACTAAATCTTTTTATGTACTTCAATCATCCAATGAGGCCCTGTTTATGCCTTATTTAAAACACATCAGGTCAGTTTGTTATGAGCCTGGCGCTGACGCGGCTGACGGGCCGGCCTGAGGTGCGCCACAGCTGAGCGGCGGCTTGTTCCCTCGCCTGACCTCCAGGGCGACGGCTCTCTGTTTTGACGACGCCCCCTCGCGTCTCATCCGTGATGGGGCGGCTCACAACTCCTTCGACCACGCCCACCGCTCGCAGCTTCCCACCGCTACGCACGCGCCTTCGGCGTTGCCCCGTCCAAGACGGAGACGTCGCTTCCAACGCTACGGAGCCCTATGGAAGTTACAGATGTACGGCAGTTACATTCATTATAAAGTTGTCCAACTATGCCGTGCGTGTCATTTCATGAACGTATAATTGATGGCATGCTGTAGCTTTAAGAGTAGACTTGCATGGCTTACAAGCTGTCAAATGTTAGGTCAGGCACTTCACTACACATTCCGGGGCGATGCAATCTTAACACAACAGCAAGAGCCATTTTGCAATAATCCCACGTTACGGGCCGATTCTGCCAGGGGTGTAGCTTTTTCTCCGTCAGTGTGCTCTAGCTCCAGCCTCCAACAACTTAATGCGTTTAGCCATTTGCCCTTGCTCAGCCCTCCCGAAACTTATAAGTAGGCTGCAAACTACACTCCCGGAATTTGACACCATTTGCCAAATAAATCACAGCTCACAGAGTACACACGCCACATGCAAACACTCAATGGCTTGCAGGCACATCTGGTGGATACCTTCAGGATACCTTCTGTGTATGGAACCGAAAATGGTGTTGTGATGCATGATGACACGCGCAATGTTTGGATGTTCATCCTAAGGAATATAGTTATGCGTGAGGCTTTCCATTTCTCAGTATGCATACCAGCGTTTCTTTGTGAAGTTGACCACTTTGTTTGACCACTTTGCTTGTTTGAAGCACCTACTATCTTTGGGTTCGGGACGACCAAGTTGTGTTACATAAGGAATGCCTTTATGCATACTTATTTAGGACTGAAGTCATCATCCGAACCCGCGTAAATGTAAAGTCAGTCTTGGTATGTGCATTCTCGTACCGTTTTGATTTGTTTAATTTCTTATCTATCATGAGCAGCCTTCTGAAGGACCAAGAAGGTTTTCTCTTGGACAAAGAAAAAAATATGGGACAAAGGGCATTGTATGCGTTGGTTCGTCACTAAATATCCAGCAGTGTCTTCAAAATGAGTCATAGTTTCAGATCTTGACATGAATAAGGGCCAACTGTCTTACTCCATGTCAGTCCATAAATAGCAGGCTGTATGAATAAATGTTTGTGGATTAAGATATTCTCGTTGTGGCCCTCATATTATAATTAGGCTAAGTATGTGACCTAAAATTAAAATCGGCGGTTTTGATGTTGGCCATCAAAAAGGCATAAAGGAAGAGACCAAGATGTTCTGTGGTTTCTGAAAGCTTCTTGCTTTAGCGCTAATACTGATATAGAGTTGGGTGTGTTTTTTTACCTAGTTTACCTAGAATGTAAAATAAGTTTGCGGTTCGTGCAGGCTTTTTGGGGGACACCTACCTTGCGGGGCGGATGCGGGCTTTTGAAGTTGGATGTCAAGCTGGCGTGGGCATGCCAGCTTAAAAAAGTGACAGCTCTGATCCTTGCGGCCGCCTCCAACGGCTAAATCAAGATAGCCCGGACGTAAGTAAATGAACGAGCCGCCGCACCGAAGCGCGTGCTACCGGCCTCGGCCACCATGGCCATTGACCATCCATGCGGAGCGCGAGTGCCCTGTCGCTGCCTCCATCAATCACCTCCGGCCTCGTTTCAACGCTAAAAAATTGAACTGCGGCCCATCAGTTGTACTTACAGTCACTTGCACACGTTCTCATGTCAACCTGTTTGTCGGACTTTTGTTTTCGGGCCTCACAAGTCCAGTCACACGGGGTTCCAGTGCCGAAACCTGGTGATATATCGCTTCCCCCATCCTTAAAGGAAGTGTTCCACATTTGTAGAGGGTTGAACTGAGATAGCCATCTTGTAGATTACACGGCGCAGTTCACAGCCCTGCCCTTTTCAAGACCTAAGCCCCCCCCCCCCCTCCCTCCTGAGTTCCTGAGCTGCACGCCCGCGAAGATGTACAGACTTTTTGGGAAAAAACTGTGTCAAGTTCATCCAGGCTTCCATGATGCCATAATAACGTCGTTAAAATCCTCATTCCATTAGCCATGCGGTGATCAACGCCAATACAGATTTAATTGTGGAATTGTTCATATCTGGAGTTTGTGAGCACGATTTTCCGTTGTAACGGTCGTCAATTGGCTCTCAATAAATGTTGTGGAAGATAGGGCGACGTAATTAAACAATAACGTATAAATGATTATTTCCATTTAAAAAGCATGCCAATAAGGAAGTCAATTTTCGCGCGAGACGCGTAGGGAGGCGCACCATCCTGCTACAGCCTGCATGTGGGCATTATCAACACACTGTCGCTAGAACTTCTCACAGAACCTATTGAAGTTAGCGCGTGGTTGTGCGTAGTGATCGTTTTGGCCTTACCCGGACGGTCCTGGAAGCAGAACCCGATCGTAGGACCGCCGAACGCGCACCATACAGAGACTTTGGGCGCGGTCATAGGCGTTTTGCGATCAGAGGTGTTTTGCGCTCAGAGGTGGCTGCTGGTCCCAGCGGCGGTGGCTGTGGCGATTAGGGTTATATGCGAGAGAGATAGGATGATGCGATGGCATATTTTGTCCGGAGGAAAGCCTCGCGTTCATTGCTTTTGCTTCGTGTTCATCCAGAACACGATGCATTGTGCCGGTCGGCAGTAGTAAAATCTCCCAGGAATTTTCTTTCACGTACCTTCGTTGTCTTCGACGTCTCTGACATACGCCTCGGGCTGCTCAGGCTAACGTACAAAAAAAACTCGCTGAAACTGCACTTGGTGCCAGTTTGTATGTGTTCGTCGGTTTGGCTCGACAAGAGTGACCGAGAAAATGTTTCAAGTGCTGTGCTTCACAGGTGTCACCCTTGATGTTCTGTTCACTAAATCGTCATGACGTGCACACTGGCATGTGTCATAGGTTTGTGTGTGCTGATGCGGTGGAATCGATGTGCAACGCTCTGTGAGAGCCCACCCAGTCAGTACTGGTGTACCAGTGCCCACCCAGCACTCACCCAGCTCACAATATCGCATGCTGTGAGGCGTCCACGTTGTTGAGGCTGTGGACTCGCGGAGTCCTTTTCGGCTAGTCCATGCACAACGTGGAGCTCACGGTCCACTGCCTCTCCTCAGAGGTGACGTATCGGCTGAGCACGGCGCGTCCAATGATCCGGCAGCTGCTGCTACAGTACCTGCTGCCCTGGCTGTACAACATGGAGCTGGTCGACCCCAACATACAGCAAATGAGTCCGCTGGCCAAGTTTCAGGTGAGTGGGCGGCGCCTGTCTGGCAGGCCAAACGCCCGCTGCCTGCAAAACGCGGCTCACTGCCGGCGCTGAAAATGGCTACAGACTTGACTAGCAGGGACGTACCCCAGTGGTAATGGCTTCTCCTATCGGGGCTGATGGCCCGTTACATACTGGCACCGCAAGCTTCACTTTACACGTCACAATAGCTTAACCATTATGCCGTAGAATATAGTGAGTTATGATAAACATGTATATATGGATTGAAGGCAATCATACAGAATTAAGGCGTATGCTGTGGGAACGCTGAGGCTGCATCATGCAACAGACCTGAAGAAGGTTCGGAACAGCTAACTTTGCCGAAGAAAAGCTTGACCAATTTACCTTTTGCAGCGTGATGAAACAGGCTATTTTTTGACGAAATCCCGTTAAAAGAATCATCAAGCGTGAAAGAAAAGACTCCTTGATGTCTCGAAAAGGTTTTCCCGTATACTCTCAGAGTGGATGTGCCCACTAAATACCTTTGAGTTGCCATCTCTGAAGAGACGTTTCACGTCGCAGCCCGGCGTCGCCGACGGCGCCATGAAGTTCTCGTTACAGTATGCTGCATTCAGTTCAAGACCACTGAAATTTTAGGTGCAGATTAGGTCAGATCACTCATCCAGACGGTTTTGTGCCAGGGCATGTAGAATGCCCACTTCTACGAATATGGCTTGTGCTATCAATGGGTTTGAGGCCCGTTAATCACGTCCTTTTCGATTCATCAACCCAATAGTGTCACCCCCTGGCATGACAAGAACATTTTGAAACCTCCACAGGTCAATGATGTTGCTTTCGCACGCTTAAGGATATCTTAGATGACATCAGGTCCGCGATCCGAATTTTTGGCCTGAGTTTTGGCAACATGCACTTCTGCAGAATAATGGTTCTGATTTATCCTTTCTAGAGCCGAATGTTAAGCTCCGCACCATAGGTGGAACTCTTCCAAAACAATTGTTCGGGTCCTCAGGTCTAGCTTAAGTCAGTGCGTTCTACATTCCACATACCGCTGGCGGGCCCACGTTACGGGCGCTTACTATTGGGAGGGTTGCTAACCCTGCAGATACGTGAAAATGCTACACCCGGCATCCACGTGTTGTGTTTGGCCCAGTTATCGCGGAACATTGATCTGAGTTTACCTGCAGCTCCGACATTGGCTGTATGCCCTAAGCTCTTTATCTGTCCGTTTTACTCTTGTGTTGTTTTTTTCCCTAATAATGTCACTTTCTCACCAGCACGTTACATTTTAACAGAAAAGACCGCATGCGTCATTGACACGGTGCCTACATATGTTTTCATATGTGCTTTTTTGCAGCATTTTTGTTGTAGGTTGATCATCCCGCTTTGATCCGATCTTGTCAACCTTTTCTTGGTCAGTAACATATGTGTGATAACTTCAAAAAATTATCATGCTTTAGCAGTTTCGGAGTGAGTAGTTACCTGTTGACTACTTGTTTTGAGAAGTTACCTGTTGAAATACGCTTTATATACAACCAGTCAGAGCATTGATGAGTTATCGAAATCGGGCAAATATTTCTTCGAGTTATTGTATGAGACGGAGCCGGGTCTCATAACGCGAAGTCAACGTGTGAAACCATAAAACGGTGTAGCGTTTGACTGAAGCGTGCGAATACATGAACTAAGTGATGAGTAACCTTGGAAATGAGTAATGCTTGGAGGCGAGCGGTGTAAGAATGGCCAGCTTTTGGTATAAGATTGAATGTTTTTAGACCTTCGCAACTGATGTCAATATAAAGTAAGTAAAGCAATGCTTGAGGGCTGTGGAATCTCACAAAACCACTAACAAAACAGCCGTTGTCGGGTAAAACCTGGATTGTGCCAGTTTACTATGGATAGCACGTCTAAAAGGACGAATGGGTGTTATTTTGTCACAGCGTTCGTGTGCTTGTGTTGGGTAGTTACCTATTGGAATATGCTTTATATACAATGTCAATACATTTCAAAGGTCGTCATGCTCAACGTACCATGCCCCCCCCCCCTCCCCAACTACTTATTGAGTTTTCGGGCTTCTAGCTATGTTCAAGCCATATTAATTTTGTCTGGTTTCAGGGCCGACCGAACGACGAACTATCTCAAAAGAATGTTTTAAATCAGAAAATTGTTTTATGTATCTTTGTCCGTGAAAAATAAGCCCGTCGTGCTCTTCATCGTGGTCCATTGGCGACAAAAATTGCGCCTATGTTTGCGTCTGCTAGTTCCATTAAACTGAACAATTGCTGCACACCAAAGCGCTTTTCATGCCGGTAAAATGTTAACGTTATTTTTCTTCTTAGCAAAGCTCGGTGCTTATGGATTGTATTTATCTTATGTAGTTGCTAAATAGATGATTTAAGGCATTCATACTACCCCAATATTCTAAGGCGCTAAAAAAGGTGCAGAAACATGTACCACATCCAGGCCTGATATTATCCTTTAATTTTGGTGAGTTTTAGGGGTTAACGGAAGACGCAAAATGTCTGTGAGCAGTCTCCTTTTCTATCAGACATATTCTGCCAGTGCTATAAATGTATTTTGACCGTTAAATGTCTGATCGCTCGTGAAGACCCTGAGATTCGACACCCAGGACTGTTGTCTGACTGGGGACTGAATCGGAAACAGCGCTAACCCGGCATACGGTGGGAATCCACTTCAAGCGTGGCGCGACGGGCGGGGCATAGAGCGGGCGGAAGGGCGCCGAGGCACGCACCAGTCCGGCTCCTTCCCGTAACAAAACGCAAGGTCCCGTGAGCAGTATAACAGCCAAGTATGGCACCCGCTGGCCCGAGGTGGCGAACGGTCAGCGTCACTTCAAGAACCTCTAATTATTCGTGAAAATGAACTCGGGGAACCCGAAACTGTCCTTTGAACAGACGGGCTGTGGCCCAGGGGACCGGCACTGCGACCCAGGGGACCGAATGTGGCCCAGGGCTCCCAAACGATAGCTCAAGGGACCGAAATTGCTTCCCAGGGGACCGAATGTGGCCCAGGGAACTCAAACGGTAGCTCAGGTGACTGGAACTGTGGCCCAGGGGGCCGAATGTGGCCCAGGGCACCCAAACGGTAGCTCAGGGGACCGAAACTGTGGCACAGGGGACCGAAACCACCGAAACCACACTGGCATCGGTTATATAATCTAGCAAATACTGTGGAGTTTAGTAGTTCCGCGCAAGTGGAACTGGAGTCCGGTTGGTGGCGGTGACTTCCAGAGGATCCATTGCAGTGGCGGTGTCTGGGAGCGAAGTCCTGAATATTCTTAATGAACTGGTACCATCGAAAAGGCTAATTATCATTGTTCTTGTGATATGTCCTCGCGTTGTGTTTTACGTTATAATTAACTTGCGTGCTCAATAAATGAACTCGCCATGTTCTAAAATAACTTAACTGCTCTTACTATTAAAACTCGACAAATTCTTCACTTCATCTCTCCGAGACTGCTTTATTTCCTTCTTAAAGAAATACTTCGTTGCGCAGGCAATGCTCGTGCACAACATACAACAGATCCTCCTTAGCATCTCCCCCCGACCCTGGATGGCCCCTCTCGTCATTCGGAACATCACTTCTACATCCCCCATGAGAACATCACTCCTCCATTTCCATGCGGATGATTTTGGTGACTGGTCTCTTGAATAGTCCCCTTGACGTCTTCACATCAACCACTCTGATCTTGTGGTCTGGCCATGTGGTCTTGGATGCGTCTTCTCGACTCGCGCCATCGGCCAAGTTCCTCGCGGCACGTTGGGATCAATAAGCAGGACCACTTTTCCTTCTCGCAGGTTCCTTCTGACTTCAGTCCATTTCTGTCGCGCTTGCAGAGTCAGCAGGTATTCACGTACCCAGCGACGCCAGAACTCTGTGCTAAGCTGGTGCAACGTCTCCAGCGCTGTCGGAGGCTGCAACCATCTGTGCTCACTAAAGGTGTCATCTCAACTCTTGATGGACCCGTGATGAAGTATCCCGGCGTCAGCGGCGGCAGGTCGCTTGGATTAGACGAGACGGCTGTCAGTGGGCGGGTGTTGAGCAGTCCTTCAGCTCTGCAGAACGCTGTGTTCAGCTCCTCATTGGTGAGATCCGCTCGTTCCAAAGTCTTCACCAGCGCTTTCTTGGCCACCTTGACCAACGCTTCACTCACTCCATTGAAATGGGGTGCGCTAGGAGGATTGAAGATCGACTTCGTCCGGTATTTCGAGAGCCCTCTTTGAATCGTATCGCTGTTCAGCTCCTGAACTGCTCTCTTCAGTTCTTTAGCGGCCCTCACAAAGTTTCTCCCGTTGTCGAATCTGATCTCGACTGGTCGACCTCTGCGCGAGATGAACCGCATCAGAGCGCGTATGAAGTTGGCGGTGTCCAGTGAGAAGCCATCTTCAGATGCGCAGCCTTGGTTTGTAGGCAGACAAAGATGCATAGGTAACGCTTTTGTCGCGTCTTCCCCCGTCCCTGCTTTGTCCAGGATGGTCCGGCGTGGTCATCAGCACATCTGTCGAAGGCTCGGAAAGACGGACGCACCATCGCATTTGTCATCTGCGCCATTTCTTGTGTTTCTGGCTTCCTGTGCAACTTCTGACACGTAACGCACCTGCGTACGCAATACTTTATCATCTCTCCCGCTGCAGGAATCCAAAACCTCGTTCTCATCTCAGCTAAGGTGTGCTCTACGCCCAGTCCATGTTCAGCTTCTCCATGAACATGCTGGATAACCAGCCTGCTGATGGCGTGCCTTTTCGGCAGAAACATCGGGTGTTTGACTTCAAAACTCAGCTCTGATCGCTGCAGTCGGCCGCCGACTCGGATGGTCCCATCTTCCTCCAAGAATGGGCTGAGCTGTTTCACAGTACTCCAGCGGCATGTTCTCTGCGGTCGTGCGCCCGACATCTTCACTTGTTGAAGCTGCCCTATTTCATCTCGGAACGCATCCTTCTGTGCTTGTTGAACCCAGAACTTCTCATCTTCTTTTAGTTCCCCTGGGTTCAGTTCTCTGTCCGGTG